GTAATAAAAGCTATTAGATAAAATAAAAGCCTCAGAGAAGATGATTTTGCTCCAGCCTTTCAGATAGAAAAACACAGAACTGAAGAACTGTTGCTTGGAGTAAAGCAGTAGGTTAATGAAAGTGCTTGATAGGATCTTGTAATACTTCCAGGTACTTTTCATTTGTACTGCCAATGTAACAGAAACCATTCCAGAGCCCCTGCGGGATAGAATGGAAGTGATCAACGTATCAGGATACGTTGCAGAAGAGAAACTTGCAATTGCAGAGGTAAGAGAAACCACTGAGGCACTGTTTAATTCCGGCTGATAATTCAGATTCAGGCTTAAATATTTACATCCAGCTGTGGCCCAAAAAACCCAGGCATGTGGCATTTTGGACAGGGTTCCTCTGATCTGAACACCCAGTTAGAGGAAGCCCAGTGTTCCACAGGCTGTGGATTCCAGCAAATGGCATTGAGCATAACAAAGTTGTGAATTGGAACCATCAGGCTTTTGTCAGAAATACTAAGAGGAGGATGTGGGGGATTATTTCTTTCAGAGGTACTTGGTCCCTCAAGCACGAGTTCTGTGTGGCTTGGATGAAAACAAAGCCAAAATCACATCAGATGTCCTGACTCTTCTCATCAAGCAGTACTGCAGAGAGAGTGGAGTGAGGAATCTGCAGAAACAAGTAGAAAAGGTGAGGGCAAGTTGTGTTGTCACCGTGACCACTGTGCTTCAGCCTCCTCAGCTTTTCCTCCAGAAACAAATCACTGTCTCACCCAGGTATTGAGGAAGTCTGCCTATAAAATTGTGAGTGGAGAAGCAGAGACTGTGCAAGTAACACCTGAGAACCTGCAGGACTTTGTGGGAAAGCCCATCTTCACTGTGGATCGCATGTATGAAACCACTCCTCCAGGAGTGGTGATGGGTCTGGCCTGGACAGCTATGGGTGAGACAAAATGACTTGGGGGTTAACATCTACATTTATGATCTTCAAAAGTGGAATGTGGTAGTCCAGCTGAACCCAGTGAAGTTCTAGTGGCACCAGTAAAATTAACTCGTGGCCTTTTAGGTCCTGACTGCTGCTTCCCTGAACAAGGGGCCCTTTCTTATTCCCTTTACCCAGGCTCATTTTAGCCTCAGGTCAGCACCTTTTCTCTTTAAGCCCCATATCCCATATGAAGCACATACGTTAGGAACAGCAATGACTAAAGGCATAAACCTTTTTAGAGAGGACAAAACCTTGTCTGCTCCCTTCAAAGCAGGAGGTGCCATTCTGACTTAGGGCAGGGCTGAGGCTTCCCTGGATTACTTCCCTAGTAACCTGGGGAGATAAAGCAAGAGGACACAACTCCTGCATACTCTCATTGACACTGGGTGGAATTGAAGAGGGAAATGATCAGTGTATTGCAGAAGTTAAATAGATGTCTGACACTGGAAAGCTGAACTGGCCAGAAGTGTCTTATGGGATGAGCTCATCCTACTTCCTGGCTGTGAAGAGCCTGAAACCATTCTAGAACTGATTATTTCCACTAAATAGGGGTTGCGTTGTATTGGTGGAGTGTGAAGTCCAAGTGGAAACTGTCATTGTGGTGCTCTGGAGGTTTCTGAAGGGATTTGGAGAGCAGGTTTCAGCTGCTCTTTACCCAAGAGCTGCTGCCTCATCAGAGAGTCCCAGTTCCAAATTCCTGCCGTTGCTTCTGCATCACTAAAACCTTCTGATTTGGTTTTTCCTTTTCACTTTTTCTCAGGATGTTGGTTTTGTCTTTTCTTTCTTAGGAGGTTCCACTCTGTTTGTTGAAACATCCCTGAGGCGACCCAAAGACAAGGAAAACAAGGATGGGTCCCTTGAAGTGACAGGGCAACTGGGAGACGTAATGAAAGAGAGTGCCAGGATAGCTTACACATTTGCAAGAGCCTTTCTGATGCAGAAGGACCCCAACAATGACTTCCTCATGTCTTCCCATATCCACTTGCATGTGCCAGAGGTAAACTGATGCAGAATACACAGAGCATGCATAGCAGCCAGGCTGGTTTGCTCCCCTAGGCATGAAGCTGGGAAGCACTTCATTTGTGTGCAGGATACCCTCTTTTAGCAGTAAAACCTGGAGGGGAGGGAAAGCATTTTCCTCTGGATCCCGTGAAAGCATTCCTGTCAGTGATGTCTTCATTCCTTTCTGCAGCAGCATGTGGTGAGAATGCAGGCAGGGAGACATGGCCTAGAGATAAGCAATTTGGATAGAAGCCTGTGTGCAGCCACAAGGAAACTAGAGTTTAGGGCTCTGTGTTACCAGGCCTTCATAAAGCCTCTGGGCTCTGTACTCTCACTGTGCCCAAGCTTTGCTTCTGAACTGTTGCATGCTTTAACCTAGTTCACAGCCTCCTTGTTGTCTCTCTGCCTGTCCTGGAACTTAGTTGTTACCTGTATGTTTGTTTCCTGGAGGATCAGACACAGTTGTCTGTAGATCAGCCAGTTCAAATAGCAGGATTCCATCAGTGACACCCTCACAAAAACCTTTGTGAGACCCTGTGAAGTTGGGGCCGTGTTTAAACAGCAACAACAGAGCTGGTGTCTGGCTTTGCTACACTTTGAATGAGCTGAAGGCAGGAGGTTGTGATGATTTGCTCTATTTTATCCAGGGAGCAACACCAAAGGATGGACCAAGTGCAGGGTGTACTATCGTAACAGCTTTGCTATCACTGGCCATGAATTGTCCAGTGAGGCAGAACGTGGCCATGACTGGAGAGGTGTCATTAACTGGAAAAATTCTTCCTGTTGGTGGAATCAAGGAGAAGACCATTGCGGTAAGAGCTTTCCTCTTGCCTCTGTGCTCCAGCTGCGGGAGGGAGCCCTGCACTGGGCTCTGTAGTGACTGTCACCACCACAGTGGTCACTCCTGGGGTGGGAGAAACCGGCTGGGGGGACGTGGGGATCTTGTGGGTGTCTCTGGCTGTGAAGGAGACAGGACCCCAGCCTTGCAAAAGCATCTGTGTTGATCCAGTTACTAGGCTGGTAGAACTAAGGGTGGAAGGGATCATCTGGCTGTTAAAGCTATCACAAACTGGTTCTATCATCTGTGCTGGGTTGAAGTGCCTGTTTAAGGAGGGCATCCAGTGTAGATTTGATGGTATCTATAAGAGATCATCCTTAACATTAAGGTTCTGAGACTTGGATGAGATACTAGGAAGTTCTTCCCTGTGATGCTGGTCTTCCCTGAGACCCTGGCACAGGTTGCCAGCTGGGAGTTGGCCTGATAAGCTGTTTGCAATTCTTCCTTCCATCCTAGGGTTTCTCCTCACCCGAGTTGGAAGAGACTTTTAAAACTCTGTGTAAAATAGCATGAATTCTCAACAATCCCCCAGTCCTCCTAAAACACCTCTGGTTTCAGCTGACCCTGCAGCTGAGAAGGTGGGACTGGAGAGTGTGTTTTGGAGGCTTGGGGAGATGTAGAACATGATCCATCCTTAGTGACATCTACAGGGAACCCCCTTGCTGCTCTCCAAAGAACAGAGTAAGGGCAGATCATGCTTCTGAACAACTGTTCATGTTCTTGCTGTCTGAACTGGGAGTGTGTTTCTAGGAGGTGAATTGATTTCTAGGACTCAACAGCCTCCATCGTGTTGTTCTCCCACAGGCAAAGAGGGCAGGTGTCACCTGCATCATTCTGCCATCAGAGAATAAAAAGGATTATTACGACCTTGCTGGATTCATTACAGAAGGACTGGAAGTGCATTTCGTTGAGCACTACAACGAGGTATTTGATATAGCATTTTCTAAGCTGGATGCTGGTGGAGGATGATGTTCAACAATCCCGTGGCTAGAAGGTGGTTTGTCCCCGACTGCTCAGCCCCCGAAGAGAACTGGGGTGACCTGAAGTGGGACATGGAGCTATTGCTGCTGGGCAGCTGCTGAAATGAATTATGGCTTTGCTAGGATAAAGTATTTCTCACTCTTTAATATTGAATGATGATCCAGTTAAGTGTTTCCAATAAAACTGTGAAATTTTACTTAAGGAATGTGCTTGTTTTCAGCCACCAGCCCTGGAGCCTTTTTACCACTGCCCTGGTCTCTTTTTCATTCTAGGTTTTTCAGTCACTGCTCTCTAGTTAAATAATGCTGATGGGGGAAAAACGTTTAACTCTACAACCAGAGCTGGGGCTGTGATTCACAGAGGTCACATTCCTGAGGTGCTGCTAGTAGAGTGGCTTGCAGAAACCTCTCCCTGCCTTGGCTTGTAAGGGGAGACTGAAATTCCAGGAGCCATTCAGTGTGCCCAGGCAGCCAAGAAGCAAACAGCATCCTGGCCTGTGTGAGCATCAGTGGGGCCAGCAGGGCCAGGGCAGTGTTTGCTCCGCTGTACTGGGGGCACTGGTGAGGCTGCACCTTGAATCCTGTGTTCAGTTCTGGGCCCCTCACTGCAAGAGAGACATTGAGGTGCTGGAGCGGGGCCAGAGGAGGGCACCGGAGCTGGTGCAGGGCCTGGAGCACAAGTGTGATGGGGAAGGGCTGAGGGACCTTGGGGGTTTAGTGTGGAGAAGAGAAGGCTCAGGGGGGACCTGATCTCTCTCTGCAACTGCCTGACAGGAGGATGGAGCCAGGAGGGGGCTGGTCTCTGCTCCCAAGGAACAAGGGATGGCACAAGAGGAAACGGCCTCAAGCTGCACCAGGGCAGGTTTAGATGGAGCTGAGGAACAATTCCTTGCCCAGAGCAGGGCTGGAGTCACTGTCCCTGCAAGTGCCCACAGCCTGTGTAGAGGAGGCCTCAGTGCCAGGGGTTAGTGGTGGCTTTGGCAGTGCTGGGAACAGTTGGACTTGAGCTTATTTCCAGCCTGGCTGAGTCTATGATTCAGCTGCTGAGGGACATGGTTCTCCCCCTTAAATCATGGGTCAGTACCATCAGAAACAACTCCAAGCTTAAAGCCAGAGCAGACCTGGACAGGCTGAAGCAGATGCACCATCAACAGTCACTGCACTCATCTTGTAAGAAAGGACTTTATTGAACTGGAGACTGTACAACTCAGTCCTTCTTTGCAGCAGCTTTCCTCATGGCTGCCAGGACATTGCTGAGCTCTTCCCGCTTCCGCTTAGCCCGGATGTGAGTGCCGACCTGAGGGCAGAGCAGAGCAGTCAGCATCATTCCAGCAGGAAAGAGACACAGCTGCTTGCCTGCTTCAGACATCCACTGGAGATGAATGTCCTGCATTCCTTCACTCCAAAAGCAGCCCAAATGGTAAAGTCCTGGTAAGCTCAGACCCCATCTGCCAGGGCTGGCCAGCCAGGAACTACTCACCATTGCATCTCAGTAGTAGTTGTACTCAGGTATTTGAGACAAGGTAAAAGCTACCCTCAGTGAACCCCCAACCTGGTGAATGGTTCCCAGCCTCTATCCCAGTATTTTTCCTCCTCTTCCCCACACCAGATTTGCAAATGATGCAGAAAGAACAAAGTCAAGTGGGGACTCCTGGGGCTTGGGGCCTTTTTTGGCAAAGTACCTTTGTGTCCATCTCCCACCCAACCCAAGGAGCATTCCCACCACTCTTCTCAGCCCAGAGGAGCTGTGGCTGCCCCAGCCCTGGCAGTGTTCAAGGGCAGGTTGGACACAGGGGCTTGGAGCAACCTGCTCTAGTGGAAGGTGTCCCTGCCCATGGCAGGGGGTTGGAACTGGAGGAGCTTTAAGGTCTTTTCCAACCCAAACCAGGCTGGGATTCTATGAAGATGACAGATGGACCTACCCGTTTCTTGATGAACTTCAGAGCACGTTTATCCTTGGAAACTTTCAGCAATTCCATCGCACGTCTCTCGTAGGGTGCAAAGCCACAGACTTCCCTGATCATGTCTCGCACAAACTTGGTGTGTTTGGTCAGGCGCTGCCGGGGAAACCCAGGAATCACAGTGACCATCAGTGCAGCCTGACTCACACTGGACAGCAAAACACGCTGGCAAACACCGATTTAAGGCCCCAGAGTGGAAGATGCCTCTGCCCGTGGCATAGGGTTGGACCTGGAGGAGCTTTAAGGTCCCTTCAACCCAAACCACGCTGGGATTCTGGGATTCAAGCACCACATCTAATTTCATCAAAGCTGCAAACTGCAGTTCCCTCTTTGCGAACACATTCCCTGAACCTGGATAACTCTTAGTATTTGTCATTACTGGGCAGTTTTTGGGCTCTTACTGAGAGCAGCAGCTTGGTTCCTAACTCCATTCCAACTAGAAATGCATCTGTCTTCTTCTTCCACTACACATGCTCCATTCCGCTCTGCCTGTACCAGCTCTTTCACACCCACCGTCGCAGGTTTAATGTGACTTAACCCCTCAAACACCATCGTCCTGCGGAAGCCCCGGTCCCTGCAGCTCAGGGGGACCGCGCC